AGAGAGGTGCGGAGAGAGGAATCCGAAGCAGAATCCGAAGAATCCGAAGCAGGCTCCAGGCTCTGAGCTGTCAGCACAGAGCCCGACGCGGGGCTCGAACCCACAAACTGCGAGATCATGACCTGAGCCCAAGTCGGACGCGTAACGGACTGAGCCCCCCAGGCGCCCCTGAATTATTTTTTTTAATTGGAGTAGAGCTGATGGAGTCTGAATTATTTTAAACCTTTTACGAAGGAAAGGTTGAGACATGTAGGAGAGCAGAGAATGCCTCCCCACCCCAGGCTTTAGCAATGACTCTCTCCCTCTCGGTGCCAATCTTGATTCTGAAATGAATCTTGGACTTCGTGCCATTTCATTCTTAAATATTTTGGCAAACATCTCCAAGACATAAGGAAGAGTTCCTAAAAAATCCACACCACCCTGATCACGAATTGGCAGCAAAAATTTCTAAATTTCATACCGTATCATGTCAGTGACTAATTTCCTCCCCTCTTCCCCCCTGCCCCCCACCCCCTTCTCATAAGGTGTAATTTGCAGATTCTGGACGGGCCTCACTGCTTTGCGATGGTCCACCTTACGGCAGGATCTGCATGAGCCCTGCCCGCGTCCAGCCTCCGGCGGTGCACTGTGCCCACAAACCCCCCGCGTTTTGATAACCCTGCTAAAAGTGTTTTCATATTTATCATTTGTTTCTCAGAGCATCCCTTTGGTGTGGCCCAAGAAGGACTGAATAGTTAATTTGACCACGCATCGTTTGCTGAGTACTTGCCTCGAGGGGGGGTGGGGTGGGGTGGGGTGGGGTGGGGCCTCTTGGTCTGCTGTGTATCACTTAGCCCTGCCAGCGTGGGTGGGTCCCTTTGTGTCTCCAGACCGCCAGACCAAGGACTCCACGGAGGACCCAGACTTGTCGCCAGCGGCCCAGGCCAGGCAAGCGTGGGCTGTTTTCTCTGGTTCAGCAAGATTTCCAAGCACACTGTGTGTCAGAGGTCTTATTGTTGGTGGCAATTCTCGAAGCCCAGCGTCTATCGCCTTATGCCGGACCACTCTTACTACCTTCCGGACCCCCGGGGACGGTCGGATCTGCCACCCTGGGTCACAGAGTGGCCTCTCAGAGACTTTCCAGCCTTGACATTTCTGCGATTACGTCTTCGTCTTCACAACATACACGCAGGTGGTGCACGCACAAACTCTCACACACGCGCACGCTCCATCGCCCCCCGGAGAATTCTACGCGCTGTTTCCGTTTCCGCCACCCGAGAGGTTCCCTCGAGCCCTTCCCCAGTCAACACGCCCGCCCCAGAGGTAACCGCTGTTTGCACGAAAACGTTGTTCACTCGTGCCCGTCATTCCCTTGCTTGGGGGTCGCACAGTGTGCGTCCAGCTTCTCTTTGTCGGTGTTACGCAACGACACATCCACGTAGGTGTGTGCACCAGGGGTTCCTTGCTCGCTGCAGCGTGCTGTTCCCATGTACGGACCCTCCCCCCGCACGAATATACCACCATCTATTTATCTGTGCTTTCCTAACCCAGGCTTGGGCTGTGCGCAGTCCCATCACGAGTACTGTGGCTAAGAGTGCTGTCGCACACATCTTTTTGCAGGACGGAGGCCCTCAGGTCTGTCGGGTATGTGCTCAGGAAGGGACCACGGGGCGGTCACGAGGACCCCGTGTGGCCTTGCTGGGTCTGCCGGGCAGCGTCCTGTGAGGCAGGTCCCCTGCCTCCGCTTCTCACTCTCCCCAAAGGCTTCCTGCTCTTCCCTCGCCGCACGGGAAGCACCTGGCACGCAGCAGGTGTCGGGCGAATGCAGCCGGCGTTTGTGGAGGAGGGAACGCTGCCCGACCCCCCTCCGGGCACACCGTCGCCACGGCCGCTGCCAACATCCGCACCACCCTCACGGACGACACCCGCGCACCACTCCTTCAGTCCTGGAACCCTTCCAGGCCTCCCAAAGCCCCGTGCCCACCTGGCAGAGGGCAAAGCTGAGGGTCAGTAGAGCAAATCGCTGGGTCCCCGTGCATCCCTCGAAGGGGGGTGTTCCTGAGACCGGTGCGCTCGGTCGTTAGAGCACCCCTCAGCCCTTGGTACCTCCAGCAAGGCCACAGCCAGACGGCCGTCCCAGCCTTTCTGTTCCCGGGGATGGTTTTCAGCGACAAGCACAGTTCTAGATGTCCCCTGGGATGCCTCCAGGGGCTACGGTCTGTTTATAAATGGCCCCTGGGCCTTTGCCTTTACTGGCCTCTATTGACAAATAAATGGCTGACTCACAGGAGTAAAAATACACTTCTGGTTTAGAGTTGTGTAGAGTTATTAAAAGTTTGTTGTGTCTACTCAGATGGTACCGCCGTGCCCCAGGACGAGGTAGCTGACAGATGGCGGGGCGGACGTAAGCTGACTCAGTTCCTGCCATGCGTTGTGGGTCCCGGTGGCAGGGCTCGCGAGGTCGCAGGGGTCGATTTCGCTGTGTGTTCTGGCCGGGCAGCGGAGCGCGGATTTGGGGCCAGGAGCCCCCGGCGGGGGCCTCAGCAGCTGTGCGGCTTCTCAGCCGTGTGACCCTGGGCCAGTCTTGAACCTTGTCCCCAGGGCTGTCAGGAGGAGTGCTCAAACACGACCCCAAACCAGCTGCTGGAGTGAACGCTCTGAGGCAGGGAGAGGTGGCCTGACGTGGGCTTGGAGAGGGAGGCTGGGCCAGATCACGAGAGCCTGCCGAGGATTTGGGGCACACGTTCCGCCACCCCCACCCCCTTCCTGTGCACTGGGCAGACATTGCTGATCGATCACGGTGCCTTCCCTGCGGGGCTGGAGACGCACTCTCGCAGGGCATGCCCCGTGGGATCCTCAGGGCGCGGCCAGGCATGGAAGCTAAAACCCGCGTGCCCTTGCGGAGGGGTATGAGCGTCTTCCAAGCTGTGAGCCTCGTTCTACGGGGACTCCTGAAGGTGGCTTTGGTGGACACGAGGCCTCACGCGAGGTGCGCGTGTGTGGGCAACGCAGGAGTCACTTCCTGTCCCCTCTCGCTGCCAGCCTGACCATGGGAGAGGATGCCTGTCGAGCGGCCCCGCTCTGTCTTTACCCCTCTCTCAACACTCCCGACCCCCGATGTGACGAAGACAGACAAGCCTCAGCTCAGAGGCTTTGCTGGGCGTCCGGTTAGGGCTGGGACGCACTGTTTGGTCTTTGTGGGTTTTATTCCCACGGTTATTCTTCGCTTGCTGGCTCTACGCTGGGCTTTCCATTGGTAGGGGGGACATGAAGTTGCTCGTAAAGGGGGTCTTGTCCAGCGAAGGTGAGTCAGTTTACAGGAGGGTCCGGTGAGCGAGGGTGCAGAGGGGGGGGGGGGTGTGAGTGTGCGCCTGTGAAGACAGCCTGTGGGTCACGCGGGAATCTCCGAGATGCGGGGGCCTTGGCCTTGAGCTCCGGGGATGTGTGGGAAAGTGTGGGCGGGCCCAGCACACCCTACAGCAGCGGTGGTCTCCCGAGGGACCCAGAGTGCGTAGGACGTAGGTGAGCGGGGAACCAATGGGGCTTTGTGATGGGAGAGGAGGTCGAGGGAGCCCCAGAGGTCACCCAGGGCCTGTGCCGTGGTGACCAGTTGCCGGGATGTGCCCCTCGCCACCACGTTCCTGGTGCGGAAGGGATGCCTCCGCCGTGGTCTGTCTATTTCCAGACCTCAGTCTTAGTTTCTTAGGCTTTTAGTATTTTTATTATTTTATTTTATTTTTTTTACAGTTCATTTATTTTTGAGAGAGAGAGAGAGAGAGAGAGAGAGAGAGATGGAGACAACATGAGCAGGGAGGGGCAGAGAGAGGCAGAGAGAGAATGCCAAACACTGTCAGTGCGGAGCCAGATGCGGGGCTCGAACTCCGGAATCGTGAGACCATGACCTGAGCTCAAATCAAAAGTCAGATGCTTAACTCACTGAGCCACCCAGGCGCCTCAGCTTCTTAGACTTGTATACATTTCGGTAAAATACGTGGAACATAAAATTGACCGTCTTCACCATTTTTACATGTGCGGTTCAGCGGTGCTAATACCTTCTCCATCTCCAGAACTTTCCCGTCATCCCAAACAGAAACTGTGTCCCCGTTAAGCACTAACCCCCCATTCTCCCCACCCCAGCCCCTGGCACCCACCAGCTTCCCTCTGTCTGTAGGGATTTCGTATTAGTGGAACCAGGTGTGATTCTTGTCCTCTTTGTGACTGGCTTCTTTCACTGAGCATGATGTCCTTAAGGTCCACCCAGCTTGCAGCAGGTGACGGAACTCCCTTCCTCTTTAAGGCGAACTGATACTCCGTTGCATGGGAAGGCCACATTTGGCTTGTCCACGCACCTGTCAATGGATGCTGGTTTCTTCCACCTTTTGGCTATTGCGAATAACGCTGCTACGAACGTGGGCGGTGCGAATATCTCTTTGAGACCCTGCTTTCATTTCTTTTGGGTGTACCCAGAAGGGGGACTGCCGGAGCAAATGACCAGACCCCAATCTTGAAATCCCACAGGCATGAATCTCTCGTGACGTAATTCAGTAGTAAGAGATAGGCCTATGACAGCAGATATTGTAGGGAAGACGGAACTGTCCCAACATCCCTTCAATCATAAGATATGTGTCTGAACTTGGGTTCCCCAGAAGCAGAGCCTGAGGCAAGGATTGGGTGTGGCCCCAGGAAGCACTGGTAGGGGAGTGGGGAAGTGAGGCAAGGAAGGGACAGGGGCAACAGACATGCATTCATGAGGGGGTGACTTCTGAGGGCACTGGATTCAGCAACACCGGGGGCCTTCAGAGATTCTAGAACATGCCTTGGAGTCACCCCACCCACTGGACGAGGAGGTATTTAGCCCCTGATTCTAGTTCACAGTTGGCTGCGGGCTGCTCTGGGGTGGGAGGGGGTTGCTCTTCCTGGACAGGATGTGGGCTCTTGGGCAGCCCCTGCCTCAGTACAGGTGGCCTTCAAGGCCCCCCAGGAAGCCCCCCCCCCAACTCCAGCGGCTGGAGGCCCAGATCAGTGCCCTCCGCTTGGGCTTCTGCTCCCTCTCGCCGGGCAGGCACGTGGACCTTCCTATGACTTCGAGAGACGGGCAGGGTTTGCTGTGCGAGTCAGACAGCAAATCCTAAAACACTGGACCAGACTGCAGGTACTGTCGATACCAGGCCGGCAAACGGGGGCCCAGGGGCACCTCTGCACTCGACGCTCCCACCGGACACACTTCCCCTGCACCTCGGAGCCTGTCCGGGCGAAGCCGGCGTGTGTGAGCAGGCCCTGCTGTGCCCCAGCACCCCTCCACCACCTTGCTTCCCACTCGGGGAGTCTGGGGCCAGAGTCGGTGGGTCTCTGGGAGCAAAGCCTTCTCGGGGAGGCCACGGGCAGCGGCACGGCCTTGGGGGGGGCACCTACCTGATGGTGGTTTTCGTCTCTCAGTCTCCCGTGTCCAGAGACCAAAGAGCTAAGAGCTTCCCCTTGAGGGTTGCACTTGAGGGATGGACTGTTGCAACTGTGGGGAGACGGGATTCAAGATTTCAGAGACAGAAATGGCCATCCGAGAAAGCTAAAATGATGTGTTTTGGCCCTGTCTCCAACCTCTGGAACAGTGCCCAGCTTCCGACAGTCTGATGCCGTTCTGGGGGAGGAAACCTTGTGTTGAGGAAAAGCACATTTGCTTCTGTTCAGTGTTCTCTCTCGTTTTGCAACTTTCATTTCAGAGACCACAGACACGGCGTCTCTGAACAATTCTTCAGCCTCCCCCCGGACACCCAGGTGGTCAGAGCCGGCGCGTTCTTTCCAGGAAGACACAAGGAAGAAACGTTTCCTGAGAAACAACTAGTCTGGCCTCTACAATCCTCGTGGCTCTTTGCAAGAAAACACGTTCCCACAGTGACTGGGAAAAATTCTCCCAGTTAAGTCCTTTTTATCAGAAAGGGATATTATCCCCCAAGTGACCAACTTGCAGAAAACAGACGTGTCTTGCGATTCACAGAATGAACGTTGGCTGTGATTCCCCGGCTCTTTGAGAACAAGTCAACACAGGTCACTTTTAACGTTCCATTTAGAATCTTGGGATCTGAATCCGGCGCAAAATGTGGTCTAATTTGGGAAATAAAAAAAAACAAAACAAAAAAACCAAACAAAATTAGCACCATATTCTATGAAAAGCAGCTGGTTGAGTCCATTGCAAAGTCAATGCTGATGGGTTATTCGTAAGAATATCTGCCTGCTTTTTTCCTCCTCTTACCGCTCTTTTTAAGATTAGTGTTACTGGGGGCGCCTGGGTGGCGCAGTCGGTTAAGCGTCCGACTTCGGCCAGGTCACGATCTCGTGAGATCTCGCGTGATCTCGCGTGAGTTCGAGCCCCAAGTCAGGCTCTGGGCTGATGGCTCAGAGCCTGGAGCCTGTTTCTGATTCTGTGTCTCCCGCTCTCTCTGCCCCTCCCCCGTTCATGCTCTGTCTCTCTCTGTCCCAAAAATAAATAAACGTTGAAAAAAAAAATTAAAAAAAAAAAAAAGATTAGTGTTATTGACATGAATGTACACAGTAAACATTCTTTTGAGAGAGAAAGAGACAGAGAGTGTGTGTGGGAGGGGCAGAGAGAGAGGGAGACAGAATCCCAAGCAGGCTCCAGGCTCTGAGCTGTCAGCTCAGAGCCCAATGTGGGGCTCGAACTCATGAATCATGAGATCAAGACCTGAGCCGAAGTTGGGCACTTAACTGACTCAGCCACCCAGGTGCCCCTAAGATCTTATTTTTAGGTCATCTCTACACCCAGCGTGGGGCTCTTACAACCCTGACATCAAGAGTCGCACGCTCCCCCAACGGAGCCGGCCAGGTAGGTGCCCCACGAACATACACATTTTTGGTCTCAATGACGGTGACTCAAGTCGCAGAAGGGAAGTAGGATTGGGGCTCACTGAGTCCCTGGTAACCTTGAGCCACTCTTTGAATCTGGCCTCTGTTTCTTCATTTGTCATACAAATGGTCTCAACTAAGTTGTCTTTCTCGTGCTACTGCTTATGAAGAAGAAAATTAACGTCGTTAGCGGCAGAGATTTATGCGACGAGTGCCTAGAGCAGCACTGTCCAGAACCTTCCGTGATAATGGAAATGTTCTCTGTACCCCACGTGAGTGCTCTCCGCTTGGGCAGCTGCGGGCCACATTGGGGAGAGCGACGGAGGGACTGAGTTTTAAAACCCATACAATTTAACTCACTGAAAGGTCAGTGGCCACATGTGGCTGGTGACGTGGTACTTAGAAAGCCTGCAAGCTGGCACACAGATCAGGCCTCGGTTTTCTCAACAGAAAAAGAGAACTTTGGATAGATTAGGGCTTCTCAAAATCTTCCACCAAAGTGCAACGTTACAGTCGGAATCTGGTTAGGAAAACAAGCCACTCCAAGTATTTCAAAGACAGGGACTCACTGTAGGGAACTGGGTGTTTTCAAAGCCTCCGGAAACCCCGGGGAGGTGGGGGGGGCCGTGTGTGGAATCAGGAGAGGCTGGACCCAGCCTTTGGGTTTGTTACCCTAAGTGCAATTCAAAGACTCAACAGGTTGGTGCTGCTGCCCAGAATGGCAAGGGAACACAGGGACCGTCACAGAAACTCCCTTGTGCCAAAGCCCGCGAATCCTCTGAGGATGCCAGCAAAGCGGGAGTGGCTTCTGCCTTCCGAAGGTCACGGGAGAGTTTCCCATGGGCGGCACGCGTGCAGCAGACAGAGCTCTGCAGCCGGGAGCCGGGAGAATCCTGGATCTGTCGTCTAGCCCCCAGGCGACATCTGGCAAACGCTTCTAACACCACCGGAGGCTGAACGTGTGCCCCATGGACAGGACTGACATCTGTGCCTTTGCCTGCTCGGGGTCTGTACTCCGTCTCCTGGCGACAGCGCTGTGATCTTCCGTGGGCGCCATCCCTCCCCTACACTCAGTCCATTCCCTTTGGGTTGGCTGCTTTATGTTTGTGTCCAGAAGTGGCCTGGGGATTCAGGGTGGGCAATGAGACGATTAGCTCATATGCCTCCTGCCAGAGGGCTGGGGTCAGGGATGGATATGAACCCATTTAAATCAAAGAGACTCAGTGGTCATGGGCCACTGGGTAAGGAATTTCTCTGTTTGCCTGGGGGAGCTTAAGGAGATAGGATGCAAGGCAGGAGCTTAGGCAGCCATCCTGCCTCCATGAGGGCAGTTTCTGACTGTCAGTAGAGCCAACAGACAGGAAAGCGGAGGTAACAGATGGGGTTATGGTGTGAATGCTGTATCCTCCCAGATTCCCATATTGAAATCCCAAGTCTCAAAGGGGTGGTGTAAGGGCTTGGGGCCTTTGAGAGATGATTAGGCGGTGGGGATGGGGCCATCACAAATGGGATGACTGCTCTAGTGACAGGGACCCCACAGGGCTCCCAGCCCCTTTCACCCTGCGAGGACACGGTGAGAAGGTGTCCCACTGCAGCCCGGGAGAGGCTCCTACCAGAGCTGCTTAATCACTTTTCACAAAAAAGAATTAGAAAGCAACGTAGCACATAGGCTATTGACTCTGGTAAACTTGGTACACTTCTTTACTTAAACTGGATTCAAAGCACTTAGAGAGGGTGTCTGGGGTATCCTTCCTGCTCTCTGCAAAGTGAAGAGAATGCAAATATTTGCTACGTCTTATTGTTAGCAGAGAGGAAACCTGCATCCAGGAGAATAATAATAAAATAAACTCTCCAAACTTCTACACAGAACTAGCAGCTGAGTTTCCAAAAAAAACGCTTTGGTAGTTTACTTTATTTAAAATACTTCCCTCCACCCCAACAGCAAAATTAATTATTTTAATTAATTAAAAAATTAATCAATGAAAATTAATATGTATTTGCAAAAAGCTCAAGCGTTACAGATGCATAGCAGATTTTACTTCTTAAATTGTTCATTCAAGTCACTTTCCGGGATTTTAAACTGTAATTTTATGCTAATTATTTTTTACCCACTTATATTTTATTTAAACGTGCTCTTAAATAAACGAGCAACATGGTTTTTAAAGTTTTAAAAATAATATTACATTTATAACGTAGGGAGGGTCGGTTCCCGCTTTCAGGGTCATCACGTGAAGAGATTTTGGAGGCTATTTACGTGAATGCCCAGCTTTATGTTATTTCTCTTTCTTTTTAATAAAAAATGAGGACGGACCTTACTGTTTTATTCCTTCTTTTTCACTTAATGATAGACTTTGGGCATTCTCCATGCTTATACACGGGTCTTTCACTCTCTAATGGCTGTAGGGTTTTCCTTTGGGTTGTAGTTTATGTAACCAAGCCCCTGTCGGCGAACATTCGGCTTGTTTCCAGTGGCTTGCTGTCACGGATGGAGCCACGGTGAAAATCCTTGTGTGGTTATTAGGAGAGTGTTTCTCAGGATAAACCTCCTGAAGAAGAATTTTAAGTCAGAGAATAGGGGCTTCCTTAAAAGCTACTTACTGGACATAACTGTCACGCCCCTCACAGAGTTTGCGTCCCTCAGCGGGCACTCCCAAATGGATTTCCTTATCTCACACCCTACCTAACATGTGACACTTTTGCAGCTACCTACATTCACAGCTGGGTTTTTAAAAGCTTTTTTTCAATGGTTATTATTTATTTTTGAGAGAGAGAGAGAGAGAGAGAGAGAGAGAGACAGAGCGTGAGTGGGGGAGGGGCAGAGAGAGAGGGAGACACAGAGCCTGGAGGCTCCCAGCGGTCAGCACAGAGCCCGATGCGGGGCTCGAACTCACGAACCGCGAGATCATGACCTGGGCCGACGTTGTCGGCTTAACTGACGGAGCTACCCAGGCACCCTTTTTTGTGTTTTTTTTTGTGTTTTTTTGTTTTTAACAAAACTCTTGGCCGTGTCTAATTACCTTCAGCTGCTATGGTCCTCACGGAACAAGTAAAGCACGGCCCCTTGAACACGAGCTGCCAGTTCAGAGCCTGCAGTAACTGGTCATGTCACCTCCGCCATCTCTCGGTCCCAAGGACAATCCCAATCTACCCACAGCACACGGGCTGACGTGCTCAGCCTTGCCAAGCGTCCACGTGTTGGCAGGGTAGCCAGAGGGCTCCCAGAACTTGGGAGTGCCTCTTCCTGTTTGACTCTCGGGACAAACACAGTCTCAATCTAAGACAGCAGAGCGGTAAGAGAGGCACCTTCTTCCCCTGGATGGTGAGAAGTCGCCCATGTGACCTTTGGAGTCGCCGTATTGTTTTCTCAAAACCCAGGAAAAAGGACCATCTTGATGTTACGTGGCTTCAGTTCTGGGAGGCCTCCCGGAGCCCTGCCTTCACGCCCCTGCTCCCGCTGTCTGCGGGGTCTCTCTCTCCGTCCAAGCCCTACGCCTCCCTGTAGCCCGGGTGTCCGCATTCTGCCTTGACTTCCTGCCCTGGCCCCAGCTTCCCGTGGGGAACGTGATCCCCATGCCGTGGGCGAGGGCTCCCAGCTGAGCTCTCAAGGGGTATGTCCCATCATCCCCTGTGGAACGTCCAGCCTCCGCATGA